ACCTGGTCCCGCTGTTTTGGTTGACGGGACTCTGACGTGACCTCGGTGCTGATTTGCGATTTTGGCTTTGCTGAGCCCAGCTTCTGAGCCGGGCGCCGCTCTTTTCACTGTTGTTTCCTTTGCTTCGGCGCGGCGCGCCCTAGCTTTGCACGGCTTTCGACTTGCTTCGCGAGCCCGCGAACCAAAAAACGCATCCCCACCAGCCCATCCAGAACCGACGCCGTGGCGAGTTGAGACGATCAGGGAAGGGGAAGAAGGGAGTTGGAAGAGGAGCCTCCCTGAACCACCTGCGCCCAGAGGGCTGGTGGGATTCTTGCAAGAAACTTCAGGGGCCCCACGAGAGCGCCAAGATGGCCCAAGACGGCGCCAGGGCAGCCCAAGAGGCGCCCACAACGGCCCAAGGGGATCCCGGGCAAAAAAAAATCAGAAGGGGGCGCAGGACGGGGCCCAAGTGGCGCCCAAGGCTGCCCTGCCCATGAGGGCCCCGGGTAGGCCAAAAAACGTCAAGTGGGTCGATTCCCCGTGTCCTAAGATGATGTTTTTTCTTCGCACGAAAACGCTTCCAGACCTCCTCTTCCTCTTCCTCATTCTCGTATCAACTATTTATATTCTCGGGTTCTGGTCACTCACGCCCATCGGGGCCCATCACAAACGCACTCTCTCCTCAGGGGGCCCATCACAGACTCACTCTTCGTCACGCAGGGTCAGCCACACCACTTCCCCAGTCAGACTCACGCAGATCCAGATTCATTCACACTCATTCAGACCGTCTGTGGGAATTAGCCTCAGACGCATCCCCATTCATACACATACGAACTCCCGCGCTCCGACACACTCTTTCTCATTCAGACATACCCAGGCTTTTCTGGCAGATTGGGGGGATGTCTCTGGCGGTTTGCCGCCTTCTGCCCCCAAGACCTCTTGTGGTCCAATGCCCACCGCGATATAACAGGTGTTGCAAATGGGCCCCCGAAGGGGGAACCGATTTGCCTGTTTCTCCCAGATTTTTGCTATTTCGTGGTCCGAGTCTCAGCGCGATATAGCAGGCGTGGCTTGCGCACTCCGGGGAGCAGCCGCCAGGGGTGAGTGCACTCCAGGAGTTGCGCCCATATTGCGGTAATGTCTCAGGCGGTTTGCTTGTTCTGCCCCCTCGGGCTTTGCTTTATTGGCGGTCCAATGTTTAGCTTGATGTGGCAGGCGTGGCGCTTGGGCACCCCAAGGCGGAGCCGCTAAGGGTGAGGACGCTCCAGGAGTTGCGCCCTGATTGTGGGGTTGCCTCAGGCGGTTTGCCTGTTTCTCCCACCCAGACGTTTCTGGACGTTTTTTCGTATTGGTGGTCCAATGTTCACCGCGATATAGCAGGCGTGGCTCTTGGGCACCCCAAGCGGGAGCCGCCATCTTCTCTCTCCCTGACTCTGTCCGAAGAGTGTTCGGCCCTCTCCGCGTACAGTTTTTTTGTTACGCACAGGGTTTCATTGTTTGGTTTTCCCTGTGTGTTTTTTCCATATGGTCGTTTCTGGTTCTTCCAAAATGGTGTTCCCGCTGCAGCGCCGCCCTCATTTTCGTGCTTCGGTCAGTCAAACATGTGCTCCCGTCCCGCTGCAGCGCTGTCCTCGTTCCCGCGCCTCCAGATGGCACTTTGCATACGAAAGCGCCCACATCGGGCAGGCACGGTTGCGGAGGACATGGAGCAGGCATTCCGGACAGGCCTTGTCCTCTCGCAGACGGGCCACATGTCATCCGGTGCCATGCCACGGCATGCGATGCGATGCTGTATTGTGCACCGCTGTGCGATGCCATGTTTTGCGTTGCTATGCTTTATGATGCGTCGCTTTATTACGCAATGCCACGCCATGCTATGACATGCTATGCTCGGACGTGCTCTTCCACGCCATGCTTTTCCATTTATCGCGTACCCCCTTGGGATCATTGCCCTGCTCGACATCCGATTTCGCGAACAGATGGGATATCTACGCCATGATAAGGGATGGGAGGGAGGGGTAGGACGTCAGATGTGACGCTAGCGCACCTAGCTTGCCTCCTCACTTCCTCCTCTTCCTCCTCTTCCTCTACCAGGGTGACTCACTCACTCTCAGACTCACCTATTCTCAGTCACGCTGAGACTCACTCACACCCAGACTCACTCACAGTCAAACTCAGAAACTACTCTGATTCGTTTACAGTCAGAATCATACTCACTCATACTCGGACTTACTCATACTCAGTCTCAGAGCATGTTGACTCAGTCACACTCAGACTCACTCACACTCAGACTCGCTCACCCTCGGACTCAATCACATCCAGACTAACTCACACCTATACCCCTCTCTCATGCTCAGATTCACATTCGCTCGTACTCGCTGGTGGTCCGCAGGGGGCGCCAGGGGTGAGGACACTCCGGGATTCGCGCCCAGAGTGTGAGGAAGGTTGCGGAGTTGTCTGTCTGTCTGCATGCCCAACATGTGTGGTGTGGTCGGAGCAGTTTGTGAGGACGTCTCAGGCGGTTTTGCCTGTTTTTGCCCCCCGCGGTTTTTCCTTTGGTGGTACACTGTTCACCGCGATGTGGCAGGCGTGGCATGTGGGTACCCCGAGGGGGAGAACTGCCAGGGGGGAGGACACTTCATGAGTCGCGCCCAGATTGTGGGGATGGCTCACGCGGTTTTCCTGTTTCTGTCACCAGCTTCTTTTCCCCCAACCATCCTGTGGTGTTCATTGGGTCCTCGCTTTGAAGAGACAGCGTCCCGTGTCATCCTCTACTTCCCTCCTCCTCCCCTCCGTTCCTCCCTCCTGCCACATCGCCTGTGCCCTCCGCATGTCTCTATTTCGGCATGCCCAACACACGCATCGTGGCCCCATAAGGGAACTCCACTGGAGGCCCCAGCGGTAGCGCCTGGATGGCAACACCGCGCCCAGTTCGGTACACCCCTCACACAGGCCCCACAGGGAGCTCCACCGAAGGCCCCAGCGGCAGCGCCCGCATGGCACCATCATGCCCGCTTCGAGACACCCCATGCACGCTTCCTGGCCCCATGGGGAGCTCCAGCAAAGTCCCCAGTGGCAGCGCCCGCAGGGCACCACCACCGCACCCGTTTCGGCACGCCCCTCGCACACGCTTCGTGGCCCCCACAGGGAACTCTACCGAAGGCCCCGGTGGTAGCGCGCCCGCATGCCCGCTCCGGCGCACCCCTCGCACGGTTCGTGGCCCCCACAGGTGCTTCACCGAAGGCGGTCGGAACTCACAAAGCGGTACACGCTGGTCGTTGAAAGTAGGTATTTTTGGATTCCCAGATCCCAATCTACTTCAAGCGCCTTCCTACTTCAAGAATCGACGCGCTTTTGCTGTGTTTTGTTATTCTCTGGGGGGGGGCCTGGACCCAATCAACTTAATCCGCCTTCCTACTTCTTGTGTTTACCTACTTCTTCCGACCGACGTGTATTCACAACTGCATATACTTGGGTCTTTTACCCGGATCATTGTGGTCCAATGCTCTCCATATGGCAGGCGTGGCACTTGGGCACCCCAAGGGGGACCCGCCAGGGGTGGGAACACCCCAGGATTCGCGCTCCGAATCTGGGGACCTCTCAGGCAGTTTGCCCGATTCTGTCCCCGCCAGACTGTTTCGTGTTCGTGGTCCAAGGCTCACCGTGATACAGCAGGCGTGGCATTTGAGCACCCAAAGGCGGAGCCGCTAGGGGTGAAGACACTTCTGGGTTCGCGCTCAGATGTGGGGGGGTTCTCCGACGGTTTGCCTGTTTCTGCCCCCCAGATTTTCTTGGCGTGTTCACACTAGTCAGCTACAGCGCTGGGATCAGCGCGTCCGCGAAGGGCGAGCAGTGGCAGCGGGCGCTGGCTCTGCTGAACGAGATGTGGGAAGCGGCGGTGGAGCCCGACGTCATCTCTACTACATTGCAGGCATACGCGCGTCTGAGAGGGGCGGGGGTCGGGGGGATCCTCCGACGCCCCGGCCCCAGGCGGCGCGGTTTAAAGACGCCCCGGGCGGCTCTGGAGAGGCTCCGGAGGCCCCAAGAGGCCCCCAAGACAGCTCAAGGAGCCCCCGAGACGCCCAAAGAGCGCTCCAAGAGGCCGCCCAGACGGCACAAGAGGCCTGCAAGCGTATTCCCCGAGGGCGAGCGGCCAAAATCATTCTCTCTACGACGGTTTTGGAAGCATTCTGGCCTTCTCGCCTTTTCCGCTTTCCGACGCTCGAAGACGGCCCAAGAGGCTTCCAAGAGCGCCCCAGAACGGCCCAAGAGGCCTCCAAGAGCGCCCCCAGACAGCCCAAGAGGGCCCCAAGACGACCCAAGAGACGCTCAAGACGGCCCACGACGGCCCGAAGACAGGCCCAAGAGGGGGCCAAGAGGGGACCACGGACCGGAAATCCAAGCCTTCCGCCCCAAGAGGGCGCCAGGAGGCCCAAACAGGCCCCCAAGAGGCCCCAAGGGGCCGCCAAGAATCCCTCGAAGAGGCCCCAGGAGGCTCCCAAGGAGCCCAAACGGACGCCCCATCAGCCTCCAAAATGGCCCCACAGAGGCCTCCAGCCCGCCTCCGAGCTTCCTCGCCGCGAGGGTGCCAACACGGCCCCGGACGGGCCCAGGACGGCCCAAGGCGCGCTCAAGACGGCCCACGACGACTCCAAGACGGTCCTAGGAGGGCGGGCCCAGGACGGCCCAACGACGCTCCCGGTCGGGGCCTGAAGACGGGCCAAGATGGCGAAAGAGCCCCAGCTCGCAAAAATCGTTCATCTTTTATTGTTCACTGTTATACCCTTTTTGCGTTTCCCGGAATTTCGGCGGTCCGATGCACCAAGAGGCCCCAGAAAGTCCCAGCAGGGTTCCGTAGCCAGTTTGGCTCAAGAGAGCCCTCGGCGCACGCCGCTGGCGAGGCGCAGCCGTGCCCGCACGCGGCCCGCGCACGCACCCGAGGAGAGCTCCGCGCTCGCCTCGCCCTGCCCTCCAGCCCCCGCGCGCGCCCCCGCGGTCCGCCGGCCATGGATGGGCAGGAGGAGGAGGCGGAGGCAGTCGCATGCGAAGAGGCGCCCACGGTCGACGTAATGGAGGACGACGATCTGCGCCTCGGCGACGAGTTGGTCCTCTGCTCCTCCTTCTTCTTCGTGCACCGCAGCGTCTTCGCCCAGTCTGGGCCCATGGCACCGTTCCAGCACCTGAAGCGCGACGGGACGCTGCAGTCGTGGCGCGTCACCATCAAGAGCCTGACGGATGGCGCCTTATTGAAGACGCACGCCGTTGTCAGCGATCCGTGGTTGACGAAGGCCCATCCCGATCTTGAAGATATTCAGCGCAAGAAGATCAAGGCGTGGCTCGACGAGCATCCTAATATTGAGTGGATTTGGCTCGATTGGTGCAGCATCCCGCAAGAGACGGAAAGTCTGAAGCGGTCATCAGAGGAGGAGGCCTATTTCCGGGATGCCCTGAATTTCTCCAACACGTTGTACTTGTGCTTTCCAGTCTTAATCCTCCAGGAGCATAGCGGGGATGGTCTCAAGTACAGGACGAGATTATGGTGTGTGTGCGTGTGCTCGAGGTATTCTTGGCCTTCCGCACGTTCGAGGAGAAGAGCATCAAGCCCGCTGCGGGGGCAGCCCAGCCTGCTGAGATTCTGTGCGACGACCCGGCCGAGGCCTCGGCGCTGGAGGAGGAGTGGTCCCACGGAAGCATGGAAGAGGCGTTGGCCCGCATGTCGGAGGGCCACGTGAAAGTCATGAACCAGAAGGAGAAGGCCCTGCAGGTATCTCGCCTCAAGTTTCTGGAGCCGATGCTCGGCCTGCTGCAGGAATTTGAGGAGCAGCGCCAGGCCTATCTCGCCGCGGCCAGCGGGGGCGATGCGCTGGCGACCGCGGAGAGCTTATTCTGGAGGGCCGAGCAGGCCAACCTGGCGGCGGGCGCCAGCCGTTCGGAGGGCTACGCCGACCTCCTTCAGAGCATGGGGGCGAACCACCACAACCGCGGGCTCCTCGAGGAGGCGATGGAGCATTTCCGCTGGGCCGAGCAGGCCTACCTGGCGGCGGGCGCCAGCCGCTCGGTGGGCTACGCCAGCCTCCTTTAGAGCATGGGGGCGAACCTCGACGAGCGCGGGCTCCTCGAGGAGGCGATGGGGCACTTCCGCCGGGCCGAGCAGGCCTACCTGGCGGCGGGCGCCAGCCGCTCGGGGGGCTACGCCGGCCTCCTTCAGAGCATGGGGGCGAACCACCACAACCGCGGGATCCTCGAGGAGGCGATGGAGCATTCTCGCCGGGCCGAGCAGGCCTACCTGGCGGCGGGCGCCAGCCGCTCGGTGGGCTACGCCAGCCTCCTTCAGAGCGTGGGGGCGAACCTCGACGACCGCGAGCTCCTCGAGGAGGCGATGGAGCACTACCGCCGGGCCGTGCAGACCTAGCTGGCGGCAGGGGTGTCCGACGACCACCCGAACATCGCCGCTCTCGGAAGAGCTCTCGGGCGCCTGGCGCCACGGCGGTCATGAGAGCCCGCGGGGCGACAGGTTGCAGGCGCAGCGCTGTGCGCCCGCGGCAGCCAGCAACGTCGGGTGGGATGAGGGAGGGGGGAAGTTTGAGGGAGGAGGGAGGAGGGAGGACGCAGTGAAACACACACGACGTCGGATCTCAGGGGAGTGAGCGACGTAGCGAACCTCTCCGCGCCCCTTTGAGGTCGTTTTTCATGGCAATATCTTTCTTTGAGATTTCATTCGGCGTGCCGTTGATTTCGCGGATTGCTGGCGTTGGTCAGCGTAGCGTCTCCATGTCGGCACGCACGTGCAACCTTGGTCGGGGGTGAGAAAAAAAAGAAGTCCCAGCAGGGTCCGAGGAAACGCCCAGGAAGGCCCCAAGACGGGCCACGACGGACCCAGCACAACCCAAGGCGCGTTGCGACGGCTCAAGACGGCTCCAAGACAGCCACAAGAGGGTGCCAACACGGCCCCTGCTGGGCCCAGGACGGCCCAAGGAGGCGCACAGGAGGGGCCCAAGACGATTCCAAGGCGGCCCCCTCACGGTCCCAGGCGGCTCCAAGACAACCCCACGATAGTGCCAAGAAGGACCCCGATGGGCCCAGGACGGCCGACGGACGCGCCCCTGAGGGGCCCACGACGAGCCAAGACGGCTCCACCACGGCAAACGGCGCCCTCAAGACGGGCCTAGACGGCTCCAAGACGGACCTTTGAGGGAGCCAACGCGGCCCCACACCCTTCGGGCGAACACTCGGGGTGGCTGGGAGTTTGCGACAAGTCTCCCACATTCATGGTCGTGCCCCATTCTGTTCGCCTGGAGGCCTCCTCCAACCCTGTGAGCGAACAAGAGGAAACCCAGCGGGCCGCCAACCCTGGGGCCCGTGGGCCCCGCGCCCTGGCCTTGGGCGGCGCGGTCTGAAGACGCCCCGGGCGGCTCCGGAGAGGCTCCGGAGGCCCAAAGACCACAAAGACCAAAGAGGCTCCCAAGACAGCTCAAGGAGCCCCCGAGACGCTCAAAGAGCGCTCCAAGAGGCCGCCCAGACGGCACAAGAGGCCTGCAAACGCATTCCCCAAGAAGCCTCCAAGAGCGCCCCAGAACGGCCCAAGAGGCCTCCAAGAGCGCCCCAAGACAGCCCAAGAGGGCCCAAGACGACCCAACAGACGCTCAAGACGGCCCACGAGGGCCCGAAGACAGGCCCAAGAGGGGGCCAAGAGGGGGACCACAGACCGAAAATCCGAGCCTTCCGCCCCAAGAGGGCGCCAGGAGGCCCAAACAGGCACCCAAGAGGCCCCAAGGGGCCGCCAATAATCCCCTGAAGAGGCCCCAGGAGGCTCCCAAGGAGCCCAAACGAGGCCCCAACAGACGCCCCATCAGCTTCCAAAGTGGCCCCAAAGAGGCCTCGAGCCCGCCTCCCAGCCTCCTCGCCGCGAGGGTGCCAACAAGTCCCCAGACGGGCCCAGGACGGCCCAAGGCGCGCTCAAGACGGCCCAAGACGATTCCAAGACGGTCCCAGGAGGGTGGGTCCAGGACGGCCCAAGGACGCGCCCGGTCGGAGCCTCAAGACGGGTCAAGATGGCAAGAGAGCCCCAGCTGGCAAACATCGTTCATTTTCCATTGTTTACTGTTACACCCTTTGCGTTTCCCGCCATTTCGGCGGTCCGATGCACCAAGAGGCCCCAGAAAGTCCCAGGAGGGCCCGAGGAAACGCCCAGAAGGCCCCAAGACGGGCCAAGACGGACCCAGCACAACCCAAGGCGCGGTGCGACGGCTCAAGACGGCTCCAAGACAGCCCCAAGAGGGTGCCAACACGGCCCCTGCTGGGCCCAGGACGGCCCAAGGAGGCGCACAGGAGGGGCCCAAGACAATTCCAAGGCGGCCCCCTCACGGTCCCAGGCGGGTCCAAGACAACCCCACGATAGTGCCAAGAAGGACCCCGATGGGCCCAGGACGGCCTACGGACGCGCCCATGAGGGGCCCACGACGAACCAAGACGGCCCCATCACGGCAAACGGCGCCTCAAAACGGGCCTAGACGGCTCCGAGACGGCCCTTTGAGGGAGCCAACGCGGCCCCACACCCTTCGGGCGAACACTTGGGGGGGGGCTGGGAGTTTGCGACAAGTCTCCCACATTCACTGTCCTGCCCCATTCTGTTCGCCTGGAGGCCTCCTCCAACCCTATGGGCGAACAAGAGGAAACCCAGCAGGCCGCCAACCCTGGGGCCCGTGGGCCCCGCGCCCTGGCCCTGGGCGGCGCGGTTTAAAGACGCCCCGGGCGGCTCCGGAGAGGCTCCGGAGGCCCCACGAGGCCCCCAAGACAGCTCAAGGAGCCCCCGAGACGCCCAAAGAACGCTCCAAGAGGCCGCCCAGACGGCACAAGAGGCCTGCAAGCGTATTCCCCGAGGGCCCCGAGCGGCCAAAATCATCCACTCGATGACGGTTTTGGAAGCATTTTGTCTTTCTCGCCTTATCCACTTTCCGACGCTCGAAGACGGCCCAAGAGGCTTACAAGAGCGCCCCAGAACGGCCCAAGAGGCCTCCAAGAGCGCCCCAAGACAGCCCAAGAGGGCCCCAAGACAACCCAAGAGACTCTCAAGACGGCCCACGAGGGCCCGAAGACAGGCCCAAGAGGGGGACCACGGACCGAAAATCCGAGCCTTTCGCCCCAAGAGGGCGCCAGGAGGCCCAAACAGGCACCCAAGAGGCCCCAAGGGGCCGCCAAGAATCCCCCGAAGAGGCCCCAGGAGGCTCCCAAGGAGCCCAAACGAGGCCCCTTCCAAAATGGCCCCAAAGAGGCCTCCAGCCCGCCTCCGAGCCTCCTCGCCGCGAGGGTGCCAACACGGCCCCAGACGGGCCCAGGACGGCCCAAGGCGCGCTCAAGACGGCCCAAGACGACTCCAAGACGGTCCCAGGAGGGTGGGCCCAGGACGGCCCAAGGACGCGCCCGGTCGGGGCCTCAAGACGGGCCAAGATGGCAAGGGAGCCCCAGCTGGCAAAAATCGTTCATTTTCCATTGTCAGAGTGAGGGGGCCCAACGGTCATTCACTGTCCCTGGGTGCGTGGCTGAAGTGGGATTCCGCGGTGCGGATTCTCGTCGTTGTTTGTTGTTGTTTGTTGTCGTCGTCCCACCCGCAACCCGCCCCGCGACCCACCCGCGACCCACCCCGCGACCCACCCCGCGACCCACCCGCGAACCACCCGCGACCCACCCGCGACCCACCCCGCGACCCACCCCGCGACCCACCCCGCGACCCACCCCGCGACCCACCCCGCGACCCACCCCGCGACCCACCCCCGCGACCCACCCGCGACCCACCCGCGACCCACCCGCGACCCACCCACCCGCGACCCAAAACCACGTTCAAGGTACAAACCACAATTTTCGGCGCCTGCGGCGGGTTTTTTTTGCATTCCTTCCAGGTGGAGAGCCCGCGACCCACCCCGTGACCAACTCGCGACCAACCCGCGACCCAAACCACGTTCAGGGTACAAACCATATTTTTCGGCGCCTGCGGCGGGCATTTTTTGCATTCGGGTTTCAGGAGGCGCCTGCGGCAGGGCATTCGGCCCACCCGCGACCACGTTCAGGGTACAAACCACATTTTTCGGCGCCTGCGGCGGGCATCTTTTGCATTCGTTCCCGGTGGAGAACCCGCGGCCCACCCGCGACCCAAACCACGTTCAGTGTACAAACCAATTTTTGTTGGCGCCTGCGGCGGGCTGCTTTTGCATTCCTTCCAGGTGGAGGTGGAGAGCCCGCGACCCACCCGCGACCTAAACCACGTTCACTGAACAAACCAATGCCGCACAAGCGCGGCGGCTGATTTTTGCATGCCGTCTGAGCCCGCATGGGCCTCTTCAAGCCCCGCGCATCCACACCAGCCCGTCCAGCAACTTTGCCCTGGCGAGTTGCCTTGATCAGAGAATGCGGGGAGCATAAAGTGGAAAAAAGGATTGCGCTGCAGTTATCCGTAAGGGCTTCGCCCCCTGCCGCCGGCCCCCTCCCTCGGAGAATGGGCCATGGAAGAGCTAAGTCATGAGGTCTTGGCGCTGTCGTGAAGCAGTATCGAAACTTCATGCGAAGCCGATTCGCAATCAGCAAAACCAACTGATCACAAGAGGGGTTACCACACCTGGCGATTGGTAAGACGTGTATGGTTTACGGGCTTGGTTGCCACACCTTGCGATTAAAGGGCCGAGGGAGTTCTCGCAGTTTGGGTTACCACGCCTTGCGATGGATGTGCGTGAAGGGTGGCACCGAATTTCAGAAATGTGGCAAATCCCCTGTGTTTTTGGACCCTGACCCCGCGGATCTGCGTAAGGGGTGGCGCCGAATTTCAGAAATGTGGCAAATCCCCTGTGTTTTTGGACCCTGACCCCGCGGATCTGCGTGAGGGGTGGCACCGAATTTCAGAAATGTGGCAAATCCCTTGTGTTTTTGGACCCTGACCCCGCGGATCTGCGTGAGGGGTGGCACCGAATTTCAGAAATGTGGCAAATCCCGTGTGTTTTTGGACCCTGACCCCGCGGATCTGCGTGAGGGGTGGCACCGAATTTCAGACATGTTGCAAATCCTATGTGTTTGTGGACCCTGACCCCGCGGATCTGCGTGAGGGGTGTCACCGAATTGCAGAAATGTGGCAAATCCTTTGTGCTTTTGATCCCTGACCCCGCGGATCTGCGTGAGGGGTGGCACCGAATTTCAGACATGTAGCAAATCCCCTGTGTTTTTGGACCCTGACCCCGCGGATCTGCGTGAGGGGGTGGCACCGAATTGCAGAAATGTGGCAAATCCTGTGTGTTTTTGGACCCTGGCCCCGCGGATCTGCGTGAGGGGTGTCACCGAATTTCAGAAATGTGGCAAATCCCTTGTGTTTTTGGACCCTGACCCCGCGGATCTGCGTGAGGGGTGTCGATTTCGAGCCCCCC